TCACTACGCACATCGATATATATTTAAATTTTATGTTTGTCTGTTTGTTATTGTTTAACGTCCCTCTCGAGAATTTTTCACTCATATGGAGACGCCACCACTTGCCGGTGGAGAGCTGCAAATTTTGACCTATACTTGGCACTCAAGGCCATTGAGCAGTGAGGGATCTTTTTCGTGTCAGCACCTACTGCGACACGGGACCTCGGTTTTGACGGTCTAATCCGAAGGACCGGTCTCCATGTCCCACAGTGGGATTCGGACCCGCGACGTAAGGATCAACTCCTTACTCCGCGACTCTAGAGCGAACGCTCTAACCACTGCGCTTCGCGGGCGACAAAATTTTATGTAATATTAAGTATTAAAAAAATCTACTGTTTCAGTAATTTGAAGGATATAAGAAATAGCCAAAGCAAAATGGACATTATGACTCTTCTGTTGTTTTGCTGATTACTGAAGTGTATGGATTTCAACAACACTGTCCAATTAAAAATAAATAACATAAATTTATGTTAGAAAAATAACAGAATATTTCTAATGTTTTCTTTGTTTCAAATAACAGCTTCAAAGAATTTCTTCTTTCATTTTATCCTCAAGAAACATCCATACATGTTTAATTAAAAAATAAATAATATCCTGCATTTAAATGCCAAAGAGAAAGAAGGTTTATTCCATGAATGTTACATCGATTAGTCGGTACAATTGGGTTACTTTTCGTGAAAACGAGGACGTTTACAAGATATAACAAATAAATGATATAGAAATGAGCACAACTTTATGATCAGGGTGTTTGCAACAAATCTCTTATGCGTTAGTTGAATTACAAGTAATTCAAAACAGGTATGATGTAAACTGACTCTGATTTTAAATAAATATCTGACAGCTTTGTCACTCATTGTGTATCTCTTAACATTTCTTAAGTCAAATGCTGACTGACGTTTTTCGTACTAATTGTTAGGCCATTATTTACACACTGAATTGTCGACGGATTTTCCCGTTATTTCCCGCTTATGACAAGGAGCAAACGACCAGTGTGACCGGTCGGCAGGGGACGCTCACTCTTCCATGGCACCTGATCCCACCTCTGATGTTTTAGAGGTCCGTCCTTGCTCTGCTCTTGATTTGTATTGTTTGAATGGACTTTTGAGCTTGAATACCGTTCGTTATTACTATATATTTCATTTCATCTGTTTAAAGAATGAACATGGATTTATCTGTGTCCAACTTCGTTATCTCCATATTTCATTTTTCAAGATTTGATGTTATACACTTTTAGATTTCATCTTTGTGGATATATCCTATATTGTCATTGTGGAACACTTGATAGCGAGGAAAGTGTATTATTGGATTTCTAGCGATCTTTTTTTTCCCCCTTTTAGTTCTCTAATAGAAAGGTGTACAATTAGGTGTGAATACCATAAACAATCTAAAGAAAATAAAATGCCGAGTTCTTCTGTATTTTTGCTTAGTATTTTTAATGTTGCAACGATAGATTATTATATGGAATTTACTCCCTAGGTATTCTGTTTAAAATATAACTCCATCGTATTTACTGCCATTATTTTAAGACACTCCGATCCTCAGGTTCTGAAAATCAGCAGTTAAGTAATTAAAAATGCTCACAAAAATATTATCTGATTTCAAAAAGTAATATGTATTTTCCCATGATATTTCTTCAAAGTTCAGCATTATAGTTAACCATATTATATAGTGAAAATTATCAAATCTCAAATATATTTTTAGGAAATGCAAATGAAAGCACCAGCTATGCAATTTTTCATTGTAAATTGATCAACAAATATATTTTAGAATAAAAATCTATAGGTATTCAGGCATTGGAGAAAAAAATCATGTTTTTAATACTTATGTGGTATTTTTGTTCTTTTATTTTCTTCAATTATTATATAACACATAGAGTAAAAAGTATGTGCTATCATCGGAAGGCACCAAAAATCACACTTCAAATTTCATATCATGTTTAACAAGCTCTGGTACTAAGGCACGGTCGAAGGAAATTTGATTTATCTAAAGATGTATTTAATTTTATACTTTTATGGGGTGCAAACGTCAACTTTTTCCAATACAGTTTTTAAGATTTCAATCATATTTCAATTGAATCATATTAAGTTGCATGAAATAAAAATTATTGAACAAAGAGATTTGAATTTCAGGCTTTATTTTGAGTCTTTTTTAATTAAATGATAATTTTTAGAGTTATCCTTCCTGCCTGAGGAGGGATATCAATCTGTGACAAGGTAATGTGATTTTTTTTTTTTTTACAAGTTTGTTTTCACGCATTTTGATAATGCTTAAGGTATACTATCACAATACTGATTATGTTGAAAGTGTTAAATTAAATCACGTAACAAAATGGAATCATGTTTCTTTTTTAAAATTCCTGTTTCGTTGTTTCAGCAGTTTAGAAAATACAAGCATACATATCTTCAAAATGTGTGATATAGCTCCACTGTAAATTTAGCTGATCAGTGAAACGTGTGGTTTTCAACCACTTAATTCAGTGAAAGGTGACTTACAAAACAAATCTGTTTAAAAAAGATTTATCCAAACGTCTTTCATGCATATCTCAGTTTCACAGTTTTACCACACCACTACAAAGGGTTTTTTTTCTCCTTAAATATCAATAAAATATCCATTTATGTGTGAATGAATAATCTTAAGTGTAAGATTACGCATATAGTTTTATTTCTTTCAGATCAATTATCTAATTAATTGAACTCTGCTCCATGCAAACATTAAGACTCCAATATCCATGGATATTATATCCAATTACAACCTCCATACAGGAACAATTTGAAAAGGCATGAAATTCGGTTAATATATAATCAATTTTGTCCTCACCAAATCGTAAAGTTTTTATTGTTGTTTTTATTTATTTGTTTATTTTCCATTTTGATGAAAGTCTTCAATAAAATATTTAAGTATGTTAATAAATGTAGGTCATGAGTTACTACTTGTATTATATATGAATTTAAAAAATAGAAATAGGAATTTGATGTCAAAATAGAAAATAGAAGATGGGAAATTCACTCGCGCTTATGTCCTGGACAATATTTGTTCTTAGAGTTAAATGGGAATGATAAATTTGTTTTTATTTCGTTTCGTTTTTACAATAAACTAGACACAACTTAAAAGTAGAAAAAAATGTATTACTGTTTTGTTACAGTAGCCAGTAAAGATTGTGCTGATATTCTTAGAAGACAGCCTTCTGCTAGGAGAAAGGAGGGACTTTATACCGTTTATCCCGACAAAAAAATCTAGTCAAGGGTTACTGTGACATGACGACTGATGTAGTGGGTTGGACTGTAATTATGTCACGTGGCCTGTAACTTTGCTTAGGGGTAGAACAATAGCGTGAATATGATGGTATCAATCAGTAGAGATTGAAATCTTATAAATAGTCATAGCATCTCAAATTTGAAATTAAATTTCATTGTTTGAGAGCATTGAAAATTTTTCAGCAACATTCCAAATAATTCACAATGTTTATTATGTTACAACTGACGTATTACTAATAACGTCATGTATAAGTTATTTGTTCATAGTAAAACCATGTTATTCTATTAAAAAAAAAGCAGAAAACGAACAATCGACTGCTTTTCTAGCATCTTTTATGTAATTTATAAATCTTTATAGTGATATGAATTTAATATTAACGACTGATTAACAAAATTAGTGATTATTTGAAGCGTCAAAATTTAAATATGAAATCAAATTTCATATTGTCCACACGCACTAACAACAACGATAATAAGCATTAAGATTTGTATGGGCAATATATCTTTGCGTAAGGTAAGTATGAAAGTTGACCTTAATCTTTGCCACATCTAATTTTTGGGAAATCTGTTGAAAAAACACACGTGCCAAAAGGTAGATTGTTTAACAAAATAAGTAACATAAAGAAAAGAAGTATGCTGTCCTCTAACATTTAAAATATAGTATCCGTCTTGGATCAAAAATTTATTTCTTGTGTAAAAATTAGGATTTGTGGAGAACAAATTAGAAATATTTGCAGACGACACTAAATAAACGCTAGACAAACAAATATTGACAAATGCTGGACACACCTTTTGATTGGTAGAGGGTTCGTTGGTTTACTTTTGATCATTTCAAAAACTATGTTGTTTTTTACCCAATAAATGTACTTGTATTATCATGACATGGATATGTTTAAAAAATAATCCATATTTCAAAGGTAGCAATTATGTTAGGTATTTAAATCTTCTAATCAACTATAGGAATAGCTGTGTCACGTTCAGGGTGCACAGAGACAGACTTGGACGGTCGCCATTATTGAAGAAGTTAGGCCATAAATAAATAAAGAAGATTCCTGTAAAATTATCTTTAATCTGTATCTGCAAAACAATTTATTGAACTTTTCTATTGTGTAAATATATATATCGATCAAAACTACTAAACCCCCGGTCTAATTACACATACATTCTTTAGTGTAGTCTTGCATTCAAAAAATGTTTCAAACTTGAATCAATTCATACTGCACGAGCATTTATTACGCTGTTTATCAATATTATCGGCTGGTGATTTAGAATAGAACATTTTCATAATGAGTTAAGTAACATGTAATAATCTATAAATCATGAGTGCCTCATTGCATTCAGAAATTTAAAAATCTGACTGTTGTTAAGAGAGCTAAGTGCATCGCGTGATCACAGTGCTTAAAGATAGACTGCGCTTGGAGATAAATCGACAAGAGAGAAACAATTACTGAAGGTAGGCAATCAATATAATAGAAGTAATTTAAGCATTTCTACAAATTTGAGAACAGTTAAACAATTCTCAGTAGGCAAAAGTTAACAAAAGTAAGACATTCCTTAAATTTCTTTGATACAGAGATCCAGTGAATTCACGTATCTGACGTGTCTCTTAAATATACTAAACAATTAATTTATAAACTAAGTCTTTTCGTAAATATGCATGAGAAGAAATGTTAATGTTTTTACGCTTTAGAGTCGCACAACCAAACAATGGACCCACGTACCAGTGCCCAGGATGTGATTAGATGTGACCTGTGTAAGACTGTTGTGGTACAGATGCACTGTGATGCATGCCTTGTCAACCTGTGTATGGCTTGTGTAGGGATTCATATCTCAACAGATGAATCAAAAGACCACAAAGTTGTTAAATTTCAAGCCAGGAAATCAATTCTCCTTTATCCTACATGTAGGACTCATGACAAAGAACGATGTGAAATGTACTGTAAAAAATGTGACATTCCTATCTGCATCAGCTGCCTTGGATCTAATCAACATTTAGGTCATAGATTAATCAAAGTTTTGCAAGTTGTGGGTGAAAAAAAAGACAAGATTGCAATAGAAAGAAAAGAATTTAAAGATACAATATATCCGACCTTCCAGGAAATTGCCTCTGATGTACAAAACAGAATGAGTCAGTTAGAAATGGAATATGGAGATCTCTCAACAGCTATAACAAAACATGGAGAGGACTGGCACAGAGAAATTGATAAACTTGTCAAGAAACTTAAAGATGAAATTGATGAAACGAAAAACACACAGTTACAAACTCTACAGAAGCAGCTGGATGAAATAAACAAGAAAATGTCTGACATCAAGGATGAAATCATTTCATTTGAAATGGCTTTAGACACTAATGACTTGTCAAAACTGTTTAGTGTCAGATCCAATATGAAAATATACAAAACTCTTCCACAAACAATTCTGACATATGTCCCAACATTCTTACCCCAAGAACTCCCAGGAGAACTTAGTAAACTATTTGGATCGTTATCAGCAAGTTCTTTAACATATGAACATGGCTACAACATAAAGAAACCACAGAAATCACTAGAAGCTAGATCCTCTCCTCCAGTCAAACAGCTGCTTGATAAACCAGAGACTGTCACCACCATAGACACTGGATTTGAATACCTTTACAATGTGGCCTGTCTGAGTGATGAAGAAATCTGGACAAAGGGAGATAATGCCACCATGAAACTCTTCACCATTAGTCAGGGATCACTGCTCTCACCCAAGAAACTCTTTAATTTTAATATCATTCGGGGATCACGACTTAAATCAATCACAACGAAATCCGGGTACAAACCAACAGACATAGCAGTTACGAAAAGTGGAGATCTAGTTTATACGGATTACATTGATAGAACTGTAAGCATTGTAAAGAAAGAGAAGATAGAGGAGGTGATCAAACTACAGAACTGGAGACCTTACAGTGTCTGTAGTACCTACTCAACTGAGCTTCTTGTTCTCGTAGACAGTGATGATGACAAAGAAACAAAAGTTGTCCGTTACTCTGGCTCCACAGAGAAACAGACCATTCAGTTCGATGATAAAGGTAAACCTCTTTATTCATCTGGTGGTTATTACAGATACATTACTGAGAACAGGAACTTGGATGTCTGTGTGTCTGACAGTGTCGCCAGAGCAGTATTGGTGGTCAATCAGGCCGGGAAACTGAGATTCAGGTATACTGGACATCCTCTTATTCCAAAGAACAAACCATTCAGTCCACGAGGAATCACCACAGACAGTCAGAGTAACCTCCTTATAGCTGATTATAACAATAACTGTGTCCATGTCATAGACGAGGATGGACAGTTCCTCTTTTACATAGACTGTGAACTGAATGGACCCTGGGGATTATGCACAGATACGAATGACAATCTGTTTGTTGCCCAGTGTATGTACAGACAAGTAAAGGAAATAAAATATCTGCAGTAAAGCATATAAGTGTGGTAAATTATATATAATTAAACAGTACACTCTGCAATATTCCTGATAGATGAGTATGCTGTAGTATGGAAATTTGCAATATTTTAATTGTGTTATCTTTAAATTCATTGTTCCGTATATCTGAAAAGAATTGTAAACTCTCTATAGATATATGTTCAGGGTAAAATGCTGCATGTAGATTGATTGAAGGATTGTATGTTGTTTTACGTCCCGTTCGAGAATTTTTCACTCATATAAAACGTCACCATGTACTGGTGAAGGGCTTCAAATTTAGACCTTTACTCGGCGCTGAGGGCCATTGAGCAGTGAGGGATCTTGTTTTAATTATTAAGGCTTTTCGCTTCCAGGTTTTGTACTTATGGTTACGTCACTTTGAGGTTTTATAAGCAAAAGACTGAAATGTATACAGGAGCTGGATTCTTTTTTTTACTTGCAAATTAAACCAAACATAAAAGAAGGGGGATGAAATAATCAAAATAATGAAAAAGAAATAGGAGCGTAATTATGAAGAATATATAAGGTCTACACTGATTAGCAGAAAAAGGTACTAAAAGTTTCATATCAATCTGAACAGTACTTCCGGTTTTATGAATCTGAGAAAATTCGCCTATGGGAGTTTCTTTGTTAAATTGAAATCCCAATGTCACGTTTTCTCTAGAAGTAGACAAGATATTGTTGTAACCCGTCGGTAGAAATTCATACAAACAGATCTTGGGTTTTTGTAAATTATATTATGGATTAAACCTACAATATTCATACAACATACTTTACATTTATACTATACTTTACACGCAGGTCAATTACTTTAAATATCCGTTAATATAACAATATCAACTTTACGTATAAATAAATTGCTTAAATCAAATGTATAACTGAAAACTATGAAATTATCAATATAATGATAAATAGATAAAAAGCTTACCAGCCTACATGACCCTATATCATATACGATAGATGCGTCTACCTAGACGGCGTGCATGGATGGGTATGGCAGGTAATTTAAAAAAACAGGTTTTGGTTAGTATTATGAACACCACTCACTCTCTCTCTCTCATACACCCCTTTCTCTCTATTACCCTAAATCACGTGACGAACAAACAATGAAGAGACCAACGACAAGTAGGTGGATCCAATATCTAACACCTGGTTACATTGTCATGAAATTTAAAGTATAAAATGACTGTGACTTGTTCCGATTTCATAAGATTTTGAAAGTAAAATTTAGAAAAATAAGGATTTTCGAAGGGGCCAAAGCTGAAAACAGACTTTGACTGTAACTATTTCTATTTCTTAATGAATTTTTTAATAGTTTTCGATTCTGAATTCAATTTAAAGAGTACAATTTAAAAATCACTTTTTGACCCCTTAAAGAAGTTAACGAGGAATGAAATGTACTACTTTTCAATTTTGTCAGGAAAAATCACGCAAGAGTTGTCTCTCTTTGCACAGCTGTTCATAAGCATATATACGCTTGATGTATCAATCATTATATTTTTCTGAAAAGTACTTCCGGTTTTATGAGTTTTTGAATATTGTCTATGGAAGTTACCATGTTAAATCAAAATCACTTCTGTCGTGTTTCCTCTGAAAGTTAACAATATTCATGTAAAAAATTTTAGGTATGGAATGACTGTTATAATGTCCTAGCATGATGGGTTCTGAAAATGAAATTCTGAAAATTAAGAGATTTCAAGGGATCAGAGTTGAAAACAGACCTTTCCTTTTTTTTTTATTTCTCAACCAATATTTAAACGGTTTTCGGCTTTGAGTTAATCATGAAGAGTACAGTTTAGAAATTAAAGTCCTTTTGGTCACACTTTGACCCCTGATAGGAGTTTTTGAGGACTGAAGTACAATACATTTTATTTGTTTTTAAATTAATCCTGAAAGAGTTAATTACCCCTCCTTGGATTGTAGTTGACGGGCATTCATATTCCTTAGGTTTACATTTCAGTCGTGGTATCAAAAGATCTTGTGGTATCATAAGGGCACTGCAGTATAGAAGGTTTTCGATGTTCTTCCCGACAAAAGTATTATCGCATGAACTAGCACTTATACTGTAAGATCTGCCACTAGTATGACTATGTCAACATCATACATAAGTACGTAGGCACTTGGAGTGATATTTGTCAAATTCAAAATAATTGACAAAAAATATGTAGAACTTCTCATCAAATCGATTCAATCTATATAGTGCTATTTATTTATAGGTACCTTTTCGTCTTTAATTTTGCGCGCATTAAATTTACATGAAACAGTTGCCAATCAGAAGTGAACAAATTTCTACCTGTAGCAGAGAAAAATGAATATTCAGAAAACATGATACAGCTGTCAACGAAATAACTCTACAGTAGCCTTCCCTATAGGTAAATAATCAGCTATGTCTCCTAAGTTTGTTCCATTTTGCTTTTTTTTTGCATATAAAATTTTGTATGTCGCAGTTATACTCTATACTTGATACACTTATCGCACGGCACTGTAGAATGAGAAGATACCTGAAATTTGTGATATTTCATGTTTACATAGTCCATTCTTGTTATTTATAAAGTTTTAACTGTGTTTTGTTTAAACGAAAAGGGGAGGTCAGGTATTGAAACAGATAATGTCTGTACAGAAAATCAGGGATGCAATATATTTGTGAAATATTTTTAGCACACAGGTTAATTTATCCTTTCAAATACCTATGCAAAATTTTTTATCAAGTCAGTATAGAATTCCAATATGGCAAACGTTTCTTTTCAAAAGTGACTTATCTTTCTTTTACCTCAGCTTATCAGTTTTGCATGATGCAAGATATGCTGTAAAGAAACAAAAGTAATTATTCCTACATTTTCACACGAAATGACCAGCAGTTCTCTTATTTGATGTTAATATATATTTTCATTTGGAAAAAAGTCCTATGATTTCCTGCTAGAAAATTATTTGTAATAAACCGAAAATACAATCTTGTGTTTTGTCAGACCGGAAAAATTATCCCTTCAGTTTAACACTATTTTGAAATTTTCAAAAATATTTCATTATGGAACAAACTTTCTAAAAAAAACCCTTAGATATTGTGAATCAGGGGCCCGTTTTACAAAAGAACTTACGAGTAAGACCAAAAACTGCAATTTATTGTAAAATTTTACAAAATTAATTATTCCGTTTAAAATTGTTTTCGAAAAAGTATCTTTCTACATATCTTTAAAAAATATCAAAACCATCTTCTGTTTAATGTAAATTAGAAAGTTATTAGCAGATTTAAATTTTGGTCTTAGTCGTAAGTTCTTTTGTAAAATAGGGCCCAGAAATTCAAGCATCTTTTAAACATCATCTTTGGAGTACTTGTGTGTAAATTATATTATGTAGAGCAATTTATGAATTCTCAAATAAACTTTCAGGGAACGTGAACAAACGTACCAATTATGCATTTTTCAAATTGAAAATTGATCAACAAATGTTTTAGGTTGAAAATAAATGATATCCAGGCATATTGAAAAAGAATTGCATGTTTAATAACACCTATGAGGTATTTATGTTCTTCAAGCAACTTTCATTGGTTAATGCGAAGTATAAAAATAATTTGATATTATTGCAAGATATCATAATTCACTTCAATTTTAATTTCATGCTCATAAAATATCTAATGCAAGATTAATGGATATTTCATTTCTTTAAAAGAAATTTTTCTTGACACTTTTATGGGATGAAAATGTCTACTTTTTACAGGACTGTTCTAAGACTTTAAAGAACCTTGAATTGTATTAAGATTCATGAAACAAAAATTGTTGCTCGAGTAAGTTCTATTTCAAGCTTATTATTATCTTTTGATTTTTTTCATTTAGTTAAATAATATCTTAAAGAGTAATTGTTCCAGGATGAGGACCGGACTTTCTTTAAATGGATATTTCATATTCACTAATATTCTGTTGTTGCAATATACACTGGTATATAGGCCAATACAGTCCACTATATGCATAAAATCCCTTTTACATATAGTATATCTTCAATACATTCAAGTTTGACTTAAAACATTGAAACCAGTTTGACCTTTGGTTGGGTGGGTGTACTTTAAACTAATATCAAATTGATTATTTTCCCCTATAAGAGTATAAATAGGATCTAACATATGAATTAATTATTTGTACATGGAAACAGTGCTAGATATAATAAATTAAAAAAATCTTATTGATAGAAAACATGTTCATCAGGAATTTATTTTATCTGTCTGTAGTTGCTACATACTTTATAAGTAAGTATTAAACGACATTTATATTTTCGTTTGATTTCTCAAACTTTATTCTGTGATAATATTTTAATAAATTGAATAATAAAGTTAGTTTGCAATTTTAAAAAAAGCAAAAAAAAAAAAAAAAAAAAAAAAGAAAAAAAAAAAAGAAATTAAGTAAAAAACAAAAACGAAAAAACTATAACAGTAAGTTACCATTTCTCAAAATTCATTCTGTGATCATATTCTAATAATTAAAATATCAATGTTAGTTCGCAATTTTAAAAAAAAAAACAAACAAAACAACAACTATTACTTCGATGGTAAAAATGATCGAGCATTACTTTTTTATTGACGATGGGCCCAATATACGGTATATTTAAAAATAAAATTCAAATATTTTTTTTTAATTTTATATGTGCAGCTGCTTATAGATTATAATTATGTAAGAATTTTAAACTCTAGAAAATTTCTTGGGTTTTTGTCGGACAACATAACACGATTTATACTTTGATCTTATTTGTTTTAGTCACTTGTTGCGGATTTCAAACTCTATCAAGGAAAAGACGTCTAAGATATATAAATATATCAGATAGCAAAATATCTGAGGAGATAACGATAAATTCACCAGGATATCCATGGGCAAACTACGAGAGTGATACAACATACATATGGATAGTTACAGCACCTGACCTAGCAGAGGAGATAGATATCAGGATAGAACTAGATATTCACTATACTCCAGGATTCGACTGTACAGATTACTTAGAGGTTCAGTATTGAATGAAATATTTTAGAAGATATGTAATACAAACTATAAAACGAATATCTAGATATAAAATGTAAGTATACTTTACAGTGGCTTTTTCTCGATCGATTCTTCAACATATAAAAAATCCTAAATAATATAAAGAAATTGAAACAATCAATATTTAAGATCCCAAAAAGATCCTAAATGATATTTTAAAAATTGAATCAATCAATTTTAAAGATGTGGTAAACCATTACGAATTGAAATCAGATATATGTAGTAAATATTTTAAAAGGTCTGGTAATAAGGATACATAACAATCAAAAGTTTGATGCATGGATTATATATACATGTATATATTTTGACAGAATTTGAATAGATATGACATTAATAATAAATCCCTAAAGTATAAAGAAATCGTAAATCGTCTTTGGTGCTTAGATGTTCTAATTTGCTGTATACAAAATGTTGCACACATTTTCTTAACTTTGTGACAAAATCTTACAAAATTCTCCCGCTTTGCCTGGTAAACATTATTCAGACTACCTATTTAAGTATAAATCTATGAAAAACAATGTTAATTTCTGAAAAAAGTATGTATTATTTATCAAGATTAATTATTAGCTTTAAAGCAAAAAAAAAAAATATGTTTGTTGATTTGTTTTGTTTTGTTTTTTTTTTCTTTATTGGTGTATATTTTAAATAACATCTATAAACGAATTTTACTAGATACAGGAAATCACAAACAATAACTTCACGCTCTTTAAACGATGTGACAAAGTAACAACAAATAGAATAGCAAGAGGAAACAAACTTCTCATCACTCTCTATTCGAATTATGACGTACTTACCGCTAAAGGTTTTCGACTAATTCTTAAAGGTAAGTATTTTAATCACTGATGTCAATTTATATTTAATAAGAATGTGTCTAAATCTATAATCCTGTAGAAATTATTGCAATATGACTTTTTTAGCATCAAAATCACCAACAATCTATACCGCATTAAACATATGACCCCATGTCCTATTAAAAATTAAACTGAAGCCTTTGAAAGAGACGTATTATTCAATTAAAATTAGAAAAATTAATTTAGAAAACAAAATGAAGTGATATAATGACACTGATCTTCTTTTGAAAAATGAAATTTTCATTTCATACAAAAAAGTTAAAGGAATCAGTTAGACAATTTTTTTTAAAAAAATCTTATACAAATTATTTTTTGGGATCCTGAACATTTGGATGCCGAGACATATTGCACTATTTTTACAAATAATCAATTTTTTCGAGCAACAGAAATCCGTTTAACATGGAAGAACGGAGTAGTATTATACCTCATTATAAATATTCTGCACAATGTGTTATCTCATGGGTTCTAGATAGTCACGTGACCAGGAAATAAACTCCATATTTCCCTCTCATGAAATTTGTCTTTGTCATATTTACCGCCCTTTGGAAGCTTAATTTTTTTTCCGCATTATACAATTTATTGCATGAATCCCCGGGAAATATGAAAGTTTGTTTAGCCAAGAAAAACATATATGATTTTTACTGGCTGAATAAATCTTCACATTTCCTTGGCTGAATAAATCTGCATATTTCCCTCACGATCAACTTAATGAGATCTTCTTTCGCTACTCAAAGCTTGCTTTCAACACATTTTAATAATTTTATATTCCAAAGAAGCCGATAAATATAACAATGACTTATTTATCCTAAAAGACAGGATATTTGCAATAAGATTGAAATACAGGGATCACTGGTTCTTCTGCCAAGACAATTTGTGAGTTGTTCATTAAACAGACTATTCAGCGAATACAATCCTAGCAATGTTAAAATTATGATAGACTTACATCCTAAGAATGGGTGATTTAAATTTTAGACAAACGTGCTTTTAATCTACATTTTATCACTATATGACGCCTTTACAATTCTGCATTATTTTATGTACCCATTGCTTTCATTTATCCGGTATATATCACGGAGAAAAATGTCCTGAATTTTTATTTAATTACAGTATCGAAGATTTCAACAAGATCAACAATAATGACAACTTTAGCAACAAAATCCTTACCATTATCAAAGATATCTTTGAAACCGACGACAAAATCGACAACGACAACATCAACAAAAAAATCTTTTCCTCAGAAATCCAAAACTAAAATTAAAACAACAATTCCAGAAATAATTTCAACGAAAACACCTTCAACAACAGAAGTTACATCAACAAAAAGAATAAAAACAACTCTCCCCAATAGGACAGCTACTCAACCAACAACATCAAAGGAGATTATGAGTGAAATTTTGAGTTCTGCGCCAGCAACTTTGTACAATTCCTCGCCAACACTGCCCACAACAGCAGAGATTGTCGAAACCTCGAAAACGATACATGTTGTTATAACTACTGGTAAGAAAGAGACAGAAAGGGCACAAAATTAAAAAAAAACAAAAAAACTAATTTCATTATCTGAGTCTGATCAAATCCATTAAATAATATGTACATGTACTGTGTATCTTTTTAAAATATTAAAATTTACTTAATTTACGAAAATTGCCGAGGTATAGAGTAATAGAGATTGAAAATGAAATAGAAATACATATTCATGGAATAAATTTCTGATAAAACGACATTCTAAGAGGTATGTTAGCAAAAAAGATAAAGAATGTAAAATTTATCGACATTAAACATATGTTTAACAAAATACCAAAATTATTGAACGTGTTATGTTTAAGCTTATTAAAATTTATTTAAATATGTTTATATTATGATATTTAAGGATAAAACATAAACAATGACTTTTTAATTGGAAGAACAAAGATATGAGCTGCTTATTTTTATAAAATTCAATTTATAAATGTAAAAGTTAAAGACAAAAATTAAAAAAACGAACAGTCATCATGCTCAAAAGCCCATTTAAAGAATACAAATCAAGAGCAGAGTTTACAGGGGCCTCTCAAAGCGTCAGATAACGAAAAGCGAAAGATCAATTTCATAAATCCAGTGATAAACAAGTTGTAAACAGGTCAAAAAAATGGATCGCTAGAGACACCAGAGATGAGATCAGGTGCCCAAAAGGACTAAGCATCGGCTGTTGACTAATCATACCCGCTGTGAGCTTTATGTGTTAATCAGGTAGACAGACTACTCTGTAGTCAAAAGTATAAAAGGTGTGAAAGCAATGACTTAACAAATGGTATGAAAAACGTCAGACAAAATACAGCCTAAAAATAGGGTGTATTTACAAACAAGGCCATAATAACTACCGTAGAATTTGCAAAAAAAAATTGACTTTAAACGAGATTGTTGACAGCCATTTAACATCAATTGTATGTCAGTAGCTAACAGTTCAACGGGATATATATAAATAAATAAGTTCGAGTAAAATAATTAATAAACAACTGGCATAAGTAAAAAATACACTGAGTTCCTTAATGCTATCATTACCTCATACCTCAAGTACCACAGATGGATAAACGTCTACTTAACCTCTGTGGTTATCCTCGTGGAAAGTTGAAAAAACAAGAGCGATGAATTGACCTGAGAGCGATAAATTGACTAGATATTTTTAGGTATTGCTTAATACTACATTATTTTATGAACTTCTTATTGAAAAACATTATTTTATTTTTAGAGAAGCAGAATACTCGATATTTCTATTTGGAAGTTTTGAAACATTTTATAGCTAGTTATAGTTAAAATATCGGAAAGATTTAGATAAACAAGGGATATCAACAGTTCTTGGCTTTGCTTGTAGACTTACAACATATGATAAATTCAGAAATACCAAATTCATCAAGCACAACGCTGGATGCTGAAACGTCAACGGAAACCACACCGTTTGTTCTCAGTCGAGAAATGGGTTTGAAAATTAAAATCCCTAACTATAAACCATATCTTTAGAATGCTAAAATGCCTACCCTAATCCTTTTTCTTCTGCTTTGTATTTCATTTATAAATATGAAGTTTGCGATGTTTAATTTTATGTCAATTAGTTAGAAAAATTCTTATAATAACCCTGATTACTTAATGAAAAAAAACAAACAAACAATTTCATTATTTATTATTGGTAGCCTTTTAAAATTATTCAAATACATTATTTTGTTTGATTTTGTTGTAAATCTTTGTAAGAATCATTATATTTCTCGGATTTTTGAAGTATTTCATAGTATAAATATCGGAAAGATTCCTTATCAAGATAAACAAAGACTTTCAACCGTTTTGGCTTTGCTTGCAGACTTACAACATTTGACAAATTCAGAAATACCAAATTCATCAAGCACAACGCTGGATGCTGAAACGTCAACGGAAATCACACCGTTTGTTCTCAGTCAAGAAATGGGTTTGAAAATTAAAATCCCTAACTATAAACCATATCTTTAGAATGCTAAAATGCCTACCCTAATCCTTTTTCTTCTGCTTTGTATTTCATTTATAAATATGAAGTTTGCGATGTTTAATTTTATGTCAATTAGTTAGAAAAATTCTTATAATAACCCTGATTACTTAATGAAAAAAAAACAAACAAACAATTTCATTATTTATTATTGGTACCCTTTTAAAATTATTCAAATACATTATTTTGTTTGATTTTGTTGTAAATCTTTGTAAGAATCATTATATTTCTCGGATTTTTGAAGTATTTCATAGTATAAATATCGGAAAGATTCCTTATCAAGATAAACAAAGACTTTCAACCGTTTTGGCTTTGCTTGCAGATTTACAACATTTGACAAATTCAGAAATACCAAATTCATCAAGCACAACGCTGGATGCTGAAACGTCAACGGAAATCACACCGTTTGTTCTCAGTCAAGAAATGGGTTTGAAAATTAAAATCCCTAACTATAAACCATATCTTTAGAATGCTAAAATGCCTACCCTAATCCTTTTTCTTCTGCTTTGTATTTCATTTATAAATATGAAGTTTGCGATGTTTAATTTTATGTCAATTAGTTAGAAAAATTCTTATAATAACCCTGATTACTTAATGAAAAAAAAACAAACAAACAATTTCATTATTTATTATTGGTACCCTTTTAAAATTATTCAAATACATTATTTTGTTTGATTTTGTTGTAAATCTTTGTAAGAATCATTATATTTCTCGGATTTTTGAAGTATTTCATAGTATAAATATCGGAAAGATTCCTTATCAAGATAAACAAAGACTTTCAACCGTTTTGGCTTTGCTTGCAGATTTACAACATTTGACAAATTCAGAAATACCAAATTCATCAAGCACAACGCTGGATGCTGAAACGTCAACGGAAATCACACCGTTTGTTCTCAGTCAAGAAATGGGTTTGAACATAAAAATCCTTGGCTATGAACCATGTTTTTAGAATGCTAAAAGGCCTACCCTTACACTTTTTCTTCTGCTTTGTGTTTCATTTATAAAAATAAAGTTTTGCTTTTTTTCTTTATTTTATGTCAATAAATTGATTTTATTAGATATCTAGTAATAACCCGAATCACACAATGGAAAAGGCCAATTCATTATTTATTATTAGAAGCCTTTTCAAATTATTCAAATACAGGATTTTGTTTACAATGTAAAATGTTTAAATAAATCTATGTCAGAATCGTTTTATTTCTTGCATTGTTCATTCAGTGATTCTGATGGTGGGAATCGGAGTGGTAGAAATGACGATAATAATTATGGGTATTCTAGCAGTCAAGCGATATAGACAGCAAAGGTAAGAAAACCCTTAAAATCAATCCTATTTCTTTCGTATTGTTGATTATTTGTTGTCAATGTAGGAATGAAAGAAATACCGGTATATAGAGTTCGAAAATAGAACTGGTGAATGTTAATTTCTATTTCTGCAAAAAAATTCTGCTGCGTTCTATAGAAACAACACAACAAGACAAATCAAAGCAAATGACGGTCGACCTGTCTCTAGAAAAACAGTCTGCAGTGTTGATAACATATATGCCACAATTCCAGAGGAGGATTACGATGAAAATCCATATAAAGATCTCTCTGACGGGTTTTATGATACAACTTCAAAACGACGATCTCATGTCTATTGTAGCAGGAATGAATATTCCAGAGGAAGTTTTTATTCTCGTTTGTTTCGTAGTTCAAAAATAAACGGAAGAGGGCCAATAGAAGAAGCACACCCGATGTCTTGAACATTCAGAGATTCGAAAAAGAAAATAAGAAACTTAGTTTCATCGTGGACAACTTTGTTTTGGGAGGACATAATAAAAAGATAAGGGTTTATTAAAATAAAGCGAGAATTTCAATCACCAACATAGATATAGTTTTTAAATTTGAACTATTTTAAATTACGAGGGGTTATCAAAAAGTTCATGGACTGATGCGATAAAATTAATACTATGTAGTGTGTGCTTACAAAATTTACAAGGAACATTAAACAACAAAAGTTCAAGAAATGTTGAAAATTTTAGTTTGATACGTTGATAAAAGACATTTTATGATCACCCGGCGCTGTCGCCGTTTAGTTCCATGACGTCCGACGTCATTGCTTCTCATTGTCCGTTTCCTCTACCTCATACACTTATTTTGATAAGATTCCTTGGAGTTAACTTACGATTTAAACCCGTCTTGTTAATCTGACTTTACAATGTCATGAACAGCTGCTTTCAATGTATATAATATTGTAAATGGATCTATACATAGGGAAAGATTTTCACGTTAGTATGACAGTATATTGTGTTTGTCGGAGTTCAATTTCTAGAACACATGATCAACGTCACTTTTCGACGTGATTGACTTTTGACACCCTGTCTACAAATGGACATTAACTGTTCATCTCTCATCTCTCTAAATTTTTTTCGGCATTTAAAAACAAGTACTCTTGATGCATTTTATTTCTCTGTAGCCCATTTAAACATTTCTTAGGTCTAAACCAGATTTTCTAGGGGCTAAACTTTGTAGAATATTGGAAAGAGAAACCCCTACCCCCATTTTGACGACATCATTTTCAAGCCCCTTATTGTTTGAACACTCCATCTAAAATTTACGATAAAATTTCATTGAACTTACAGAATGAGGTAAAAATTGCAAATTTTACGGAACAATTATGTAATACCACTTGCCTGAATTAACGGGATTTTTGGATGACAAATACTCATGTCAAAAGAAATTTTCTGAGTTACACTCATGATCAGGTAGATAAAAATTGCCATGTTCAAGGTTGCGCCGCGTGTACATACCATTGCTTACAAACCCTTACCATTGCTAACTAAATGTTTTAAAATTCATTGATGTACCTAAAGCGGTTTTAAATTTATGTCGCTAGTCCACGAACTTTATGATAACCCCTCGTATGTTAAAAAGATTTCAAGACAAAATCTGTTGTTTTATTTGTCAAATACAACTAAATTGTAAACAAACCTAATAATGATATGTATTTCTTAATATCATTATATTTGTTTTCGAAGAATTAATTCTAACAAACTATTTTAAATGAATACAGTGTATACGATGAATTCTAATTGTTATTTTTTCAAATCTCTTTTAACCAGAATCAATATCCTTCACATTTTGTTCGTACAGCCCAGCAATGATTCAGTGAGAAATATATTCAAAAGATTGAACTAATTGACTTTTTTATTCTTTTAATCTTATTTTTTATCCTGGTAGGCAGGTACGCTGAATTATGCACATTAATATAAATAAACATACCTGTAATAAGATATTGCTAGGTATATCACTGATGTATGCTGTTTTTCGGAAGAGGGATTTGAAGGAAGGAAATATTTCATAATAATGAGAATTTTTCCTCAGTTAAATCTGAATAAATGTACAATATTTGTATACACTGTCATATGAGGTAAATTATAACTTATAACTAATCAATATTTTTTTTCAATTTTTTATTACTTGAATATTTTTTTTTTTTTTTTGCAATTTTATAAATATTTTATCTAAATGTAAAATTGATGTTTAGTATATATATTGTACACTGTATGTAATAATTTAGATAAGAAACTTAAGGTAGTTCGTTCAACAGGTCCGAAATCAGTAGTTTAAAAAAGTGGTCTGAAAATTGTCAATGATTTCACAAAATACTTCATATGTATACACTAATGTTATTTCTTAAAAGTTCCTCATTATAATGAATCATATTATATAGGGAAATAATCCGATCTGAAATATATATTTACAGGAAACAAAAATAAAAGCAGATATTCTGCATTTTCTAATTCAAAATTGTTTGAGAATATTTTACTATAAAAAAAAGTTACTATATAAGTATCCAGGATTTTGAAAATAAATGTATCTTTTTAAATGATAAACTTTATGAATGTGGTATTTTAGTTCTTTTATTAACTCCAATCATTATTATTATGAAAAATAATACATAGGGTAAAAATCATGGGATTTAAACAATACATCACAGATAACTTCCATTTCTTTTCATGCTGAGACGCATTGGTTTCTATGTCAAGATTTTAGATATTTGTATTGTTATGGGGTGAAAACATTTCAGAGTATCTTGAATCATATGAAGATGCATGAAATGAAAGTTGCTGCACCAAAAAATCAATTTTAACCTTTTTTAAGGATATTCACTTGAATAATAATTCTATGAATAATTCTTCCTAGCTAAGGAGTGAACATACTTAAAGCAAAAACATGTTCAACTTTTTTTCTAGAGGAAATGTTTAAGGTTTGATTTAATTTCTGACGTGTTTGTTAAAGAAGTTTGTCTAATTGCACGGTGAGTTTTGGCGGATACAAATGAACCTTTGAAGGCTTTTCACTATACATGTAAACGTTCTAAGTTTGTTTTCGTATTTTTAAAGTTCCACTTCCTTAAATAAATCAGCCGCCAGCGAAACATATTCGTCTAAGATTCCAGATATGACAGATATTCCTAGCCTCTCGAACTGAATAACATCTCTACTCAACTGCTACAAGACTGGAAACTTGGCTTAAAGCCTATATATACAAGTTTCAAAGTTATTCAAGCAGAAGATGAAAAAAGAGAAAACAAAAACTATTGTATGAAAGGATCCTTTAGTTTAAGCGTAAACATTATAAAATGAATGATTCACTTTTTGTAAGTGTGATAGAGTTCAGCCATTAACATAATTAATGGTGAGCATTTACTTTTTGAAATGATAGAAAAGGTGAAATATCTTTATTTAACACAGAAAAGGGAAATAAAAGATTGGGATGATCTTATTTCTATTGGAAAGAGTTTGAAACTATATGCAAACAATAACTTCTGTTCTTTAAGCTTTAATCAGCTTTATCTTAATGTAAAGTACACTTAGATAATGTTAATATAATAAGAATTATCATTATTCGGATTCAAATCTATTAAGGATATACGCAACATAGTTTGAACTTTATTGTCTTTTTCTCTAGAGTTGAAGAGTTCCTATACTTAAAGGAACTAAGTGCTGCATTTTAATGTCTATATATGCTGTTGTACACATCTTCTAAAACAAGTTTGGATACACAAAACATCTAGAATATATGTTTAGTATTTTTTGTATATTTTTCTTTGAATTATACAAGAATTTTCATCAATTGATATCTTTTCAAAACCCCTGGTAATGCATGCTGATCTTTTGTCTACGAACATCTCATGGCACTATTATCTTAAATTAAGAATGTCTTGAAAAATTATCAGTAGGTAAGGTACGTTGCGTATGTCCTTAAAAAAGTAAATAACTGCATTGATTTTACAACCCAGCAAAATCACAAAAGTCATGTAAATTGAGAGGAAAATTCTTAACCAACACCTGCTGAATTATAGCACATGTATGGAACATTTCAATTATAGGAAACTAACACGTTCACGTGTTAGGTGTAGCATCTGATCCCTTTATATGCAAGGAAGTATATACCATATACACGTGGTGTTACTAATAAAGATATACCATATACACGTGGTGTTACTAATAAAAATGTCCTTCGTGGAAGGGGGAAATGCAAGTGCATGTTCCAAATGCATACATCTATTTAATTAAAAAAATGTTTTGCTTCATTTGAATCTTGAAACAGTTATATAAATAATAAAATAAATGTAGGATCATTATGAGTGAAAATGTTATAAAAATAAAGTCTTTAGAAAATCTCAATTGAAATAGTGACACCAAATACTGCAAAAACTAGAATAGGTTCTGCCCTTGTATGGTTCTGTCTTCAAAATGTTGTCTATTTGTATTTCTTTATATGTTTATAATAATTCTGATTGCAACACGACAATTGATTAGAAAGAAAAATTAATTTATATTGTTTAGCCTGCGTTGCCAACGTCACAATGACTTATGTCTAAACGTATCAATCCGGTTAACGTTAATTTTAAAGTAAGATTTATTAAAAGGTATTTTTGAAGGAAAAATTATCTTATTTTCTACACTCATTGATGGAAAATAAATTATAAGGAATAAATTTGATAGCTGTTATATTCGTATAACCTGGGTTGGAACAATTTACGCTTTGATATAAATCGCTTCGCGGTAAATTGTCTCATCCAAAGTTATACAGTATAACTTGGGTAGCTATGAAATTCATTTCTTAAATAATTCAAAATGCTAGCTTATCCTCCGCAAATCTAGTTTTTTTGCATCATTTTTAATTAGTTTGAAAAAATAGTGTTGTTCTTGTAATAAAATAAAAAATAATTTTTTTTAAAATACTTTTCTACATACAGTTTCAGTCCGATTTTATTAAAACTTTTATGAACAATTTGACCCTAAAACTTTGTTAGATTGGCTAGTAATTTAAATGAACGGTATGTAATGCACACTAAAAAGGCCATTTCTCATATTCTATTCAAATTAGAAAGAATTGAAATGCTGTTATACTAAATCATTTTTACTTTAAAGTTTCGATAAAAAAAAAAATTTGCAGTGATTGATAAAAATCGAATAATTAGTGAAAATCTTAAAATGTTTACATATTCTTAATCTTTTTTTATGCCAATAAAACCCGAGGCAAAAGCATGTTCAAATAAGACGCATTAACATTGGTAAAATAACTGGGAAGAAAACAGCATGATACATTTGTTTAAAACTAAAAATTGCTTCATCAGAAGAAGACCTTCAAATACTTATGCATGACATGAAAAAAAAAAAACAAACACTTTCTGTGGTCTTCAACTCGACATAAAGATATATCAATGACTTATTATCAATTAACAATAGTTATTTCCATTCATACGTCTACTCGATATATCCCAGTGAGCTTGAAATAAGATACTCAAAAGTCTGACGCATCTGTTTCATATTTTGATATTTTACTTGAAAGTAAAATAACAATAAAGCTTTCTGATAAACGTGATAGCTTCAACATTTAAATTGTCAAATTCCTTACTTACATGTATGTAGCAATATGGCCTTATCACCTGCATATGGGGTTCAGACCTCACAGGTGATTCGATATGAAAGTGCATAATCTACGTACGTTCAATTTCTTTCACTACGCAACCTATTGACAAACAAGTTGAAACAGGTATATAAAAAGTCTCGTTGATAGTCATCGTTTTGTAAGTTCGATATTTGCATATTTGATATTTGATGTTTGATATGTGCAGTTTGATATTTGAACTTTGACATTTGAACTTTGAACTTTGTTTGATGTGTGCTGACCCTCCGCGGTAAACCCATGATGGTTAGTGTGTACACATGTTGCTATGATTTGATGGGATTGCCCTATTGAAATGGCATCCCATATTGTTTGTGATTTATTATGCCACGACCAATACTCGCCATAACACTAAATATAAAAAATTAACAGTTGGTGTTGTATTCTTATCTCTGTATAAATAAAATTTTATGTTTCATAAAATGTTTTATATGCAAGCTTTTTACATTGTTAATGTCAAGTCAATTAAATTTTGTAGTTATCATTAGTATGCTGTATTAAGGTCGGGTTCAATTTTAATCGGGATCGAGTTCCCAATATTTAAATCCGGTGGAAACATGAGGTTATGGTAATTTTAATCTGAGCTACAATGTGAAGAATTGTTTCATATAATTATCAAAGAATTGGTTGTATTGACATATCAGTGATATCATTTAACTGCGTAAACAAAATTAGACATTTTGATAGTGAGTCGGGTGGAGAAGTGACCCTAAGACCCGCGATCTGGCAAACTCCAGTTTCGTGATATTCACAATGAGGATGGCTTCTGTCTTCTGCTTGTAATGATTTATCAGACTCACAGGCAACTCGAAGCGACGAATCATGGGACTGACACAGTTTTTAAGTTTAAATAATAACCTTTCTAATGTAATAACTGGACATTTGTTACGGAGACATCCCTCCGAGAATACCAAAGTGATTGATACCAATAAACTGCTCCATGACCAGTGTCACCACCGGGAATTCTGTGGCTCAGATAGGAAGTATTTGGTCTGTGTTGGAGTTTGCTTTAAAGATAGCAATCATATGCATGACCACCGGTTCTTGGGCAAATGTCTACAAACATGTCCATGCCTCTCAATTTGACAGGACAGGCAAAGAATCGGGACTAGATAAGTATCAATACTAGTGCATTACACACACAGTGTTTAGTAAGTCTCAGTATGGAGATTTACCCATATTTAATGGATTGTTATGCTATTGGTAATGCTGGTTTTGTGCTGATATTAATTCATGTAAGACAGTGCTGGTGATTATATTTAATCATATTTATTACTAGGTGCTCTGCACATTATGTCAGCTGTCTTCATAGTAAGCTGTCGGGTCATTTTGTATTGATTTCTATAGATGTATTCCAAGGCAACAAGTTTGTTTTTTTTTTTTATTCTTCCTGACAACTGCAGGAGTTGGAAAGATTTGTTTATTCATTTAAAATATGTGGTTGCCTATAATGATGAGCAATAGCTGTGCACAGCTAAGTTTGTTTTTTTTTAAGTTCATTTCTAAGTTAAACAGAAATGAGAATTTTTTCAACTTTTATTTATTATGAGCTGCAACTAATATGAATGTGGACCATGATGACTGGCCTGTCAGTGTCAGTTTTGGTCAATTTGTGTGGGATCACCTATGGATCCCTATGATTTATGTGAAGGCAACAAGTATGTTATTTTGTACTCTTACTGACAACTGCAGAAGTTGGGAGGATCTTTTCATTTATTTATAAAATTGGTTGCCCATAATTGTCATGACAAAGTTGCAGCTAAGTTTGTTTATTTTAGCTCATTTCTAAGTTAAACTGAAATGAGAATATGCTTTTTCAACTTTTATCTATTATGAGCTGCAGCTAATATTAATTATACCTGACCTGTTCATGCTAATTCTTAAAATGATACTGATATCTAGACAACTTTCATTGTACCAAGAGTTAACCCCACCTTTAACATGATGAAGATGTGAGCATGTTGTCTCATTATTCTGTGCATATAAATGGGTGGGGTACAACTAGTATCATATTACATTCTCATGTGTGAAAATTACAACATGCTTGGACTCATTGTAGAATATGATGCCACCAAAGATTAAGGAAAGGAAACCTGTTGCAGATCCACAACCACCAGGAAGTACAAGTTACACACTCAAAATGCTCAAGCTCCTCCTGTGGATTTTACTGCACATATCTGTGTTGGATGACAAATTATCATTGTCTCCAGTAAGCTGCTCTGACACCAGTGGTGACTTAGATAACTCTAATTTTGTCAACACACTTCAACATTTGTTTTATGGTGAGTCAGTGGCAGATACAGTCAATTTATTGACCTTAAATGCTTATAACCTAATTCCAAAATAAATATTTCAACTCAAAAAAAAAAAAAACAACAACAAAAAAAAAAAACAACAAAAAAACAATGCAATCTAGTAAATCTCACAGTCAACAAAACAATCATATCATGGTACCAGTGGACATCAGCCTCTCTGATATTTGTGTCCATATACACAGAAAATTATCCCCAAGAGTATGCCAATCTTCTTAAAAATTGCTGTACTGTTAGGGAAATTGGGAGTTCCAATGGGGATTGCCCATAGAGATATTATGATGAGAATGCTAGTAGCTCGTCAGTTAATTGAGAGGTCCCTTGGCACCCTCCGATTACCAAATACATGGTCAAAACTTGCATCCTCACTCGTTCTTTTAGCTTCTTACAATACACCGCAAACTGCTCAAATATAACTGCCAAATATATCAAGTATATACAGTAAACAACAACCCAAAATAAAAATGGAGCAAATCGACTGAAGCAAATCTAACAGCAAATAAAACACTTTCAACAACAATAGAGCATTTAAGTGCTTCTTCAAGAGTTACAGGGTTATGACAAGGTCTTACTTGACTTTCAAGTTTACAGTTTTAAATATGGTTTTAAACTTGGTTACATTGAGTTTCTTTGGACCTCTGTTAGGAACAATCATCCATCTGTTAAAAAAAAAAAAAAAAAAAAAAAAAAAAAAAGAGTCTGATGATAGCCCACAAAATGTTGGATAAGGAACTTGGACTCAATCATATTTCAGGTCTACATACATTTAAACCTTTTGATAATCTTATTTGTTCACCATCAGGGCTTGTGCCTAAGAAGCTACTTGTAGATTTCAGAATTATTCGTTACCTATTCTTTCCAGATGGTAATTTAGTAATTTAACACATTTCGTGATAAATACTGCTGTGCATCATCATTTTATAGAAAATGTATATAGCTAATCAAGACGTTTGGGACGGGACACATTTGGTCAAGTTAGACATAATGGAAAGGTTTCAAAATGTCCCATTCCACCCTTCAGACTGTCATTTTTAGGCTTTATGTAGGATGATCAAAATTTTTACGATAAATGTTTACATTTGGGGCCAGGTCATCAGGTCAGTTGTTTGAGAGGTTAAGCACAGTCTTACAGTGGATTATGTTAAATAAATATCGGGCCACTGGTTTCTCTCATCTCGTTGATGATTTTTTCTTCTTAGGACCAGAATTACCACAAAAATGACTCTCTGATGTTCAGAATTTGGAACACCTGTGTCAGAGATTAAAATGTCAAACTGTCTTGCCAACAACTTGTTTGGCTGTGGAATAGAGGTAGATTCGTGTTTTGGGGATGTCAGTACCTGTGAACAAACTTATCAATATGATACAATTGCTGGCAAAGACAGCACATAGAAAGAAAAGACAGTTGAAAGAACTGCAGTCTTTGTTAGGTTTGCTTAATTTTGCTTGTAAAGTGGTAGCACCTGCTCATGAATTTTGATAGTTACTCTTAATAGATTAAAGTTGTCATGTTCCTAAAAAAAAAAAAAAAAAAAAAAAAAAAAAAAAAAAATCAGTACTTAAAATTAGTGTGCTGACATTTAAGCATGGCATCTCTTTATTGATCATTTTGATGGCAAATATATTTTTTATCGGGATGAATGGATTTCTCACAGAACTTTTGTATGTATGTATACCTATGCATCTGGTAGTTGGGCTTTGCATCTGTATATGGGTCATTATGGTTTGTGCAATCTTGGCTAGGCATTCAAACAGTCTATCACATTTTTATAAAGAGCTTTTCCATATTGTCTGCCGGATGGAAATTTGGCTTCCTTATTTGAGTAATCAAAAATTTTGGCTGATATTATAGCTGTTGTTGGAGTTGTCAATAAATTGTCAAGCAGGGACAAAACATGAATTAGTTGTTGCTGCATTTGACTTCAATCATATCTAAAGGAAAGTTATCAAAGGTCCCCAAACAGTTAGTGACAACTGCTGACACTAAATTTTCAATCACAACATTATTCTTATCATATTTTTATCTGCTTTATATCACAGGGTTCAAAAAGCAGACATGATTTTTTTTTTTTTTTGTTGGCACTCTACCTCCTTGCCTTTCATGCTTTCATGCACTTAGGTGAACAATGTAAATTGAGCACAGATCACACTCAGGTACTCCAAAATCAAATGATAGGCACTCGATAACAATTACCTTAACAGACAATAACCTGAATTGTCAGTTTGTCCATTCAAGTTTTGAAACTGCATATTGCTCAATATCACCTCACATCTGGCCCTTTATTCACCTTCAAATCTGGTGAACAGTTCCTCAGAGTTTTATGGCATATCCCTTGTAACATGTTATAAATTTTAAAGGCTTGATTCCTCCTTTAATTCAGATATTGTTTTGCATTTGTGATGCCACAGAGGTGGCACAGAACGAATTGTCTGAAAATGTCATTCACCAACTTGATTGTTGGCACTATAATGCAAGTATGCATTACATTAGGATAAATACTTTCAAATTCAAATTTCCCAAACTTGGTCTGAAGGATTGCAAAGTTAATTATTTCCTCTTATACATGTACTGCCACCGAACATCATAAATAGAGAAGTCAGCATCTGGCATCTCTATGTTGGTAAGTAAGATTAGGCAATGTATTAGCTTCTGATGTAACATAATTCATTGCTCTATCATTAATTTTGTAAATTTGGTCATGAGACCAGCATATGGCTGCTCAAATAGTTGTACATCCTCTTTAGTCATCAACTCTGTATAATTCAGTTTAAATTGATAAGAGGTCAGCACATGGCTGCGTATATAATCTGTATTTTAGAAAGTGAGCTCAGCATTGATGTACTTACAATGTTTTACATAGACTGCTTATTAATGTCAATGAGTTCAGCATATGGCGGCTCATATAAACTGTAATCTAGTCAGTGAGGTCAGCATAGCTTTGCTCAAAATGTGTTACTTAAAGTATGTACCATGTTCGTAAGGTCAGCATATGGCTGCTCATGTAAATTGTATGTTAATCATGAGCTCCACATATTGTGATCTTAAATTTTATCTGTAAAGACTGTGAGCTAAGGCACAAGAGTTTAGCATATGGCTGCCCATATAATCTGTATTCTGTCAGTTAGGTCTGCATGTACCAATGTTCATGAGGTCAGCATATGGTTGCTCATGTAAACTGTACATTAAAATTTGCCTGCATAGAATGTGAGCTAAGATACATGAGGTCAGCATATGGCTGCTCATGTAAAATGTTTGTTAAAATCTGCCTGCATTGACTTGACCTAAGATACATGAGGTCAGCATATGGCTGCTCATGTAAATTGTATTTAAAAATGTGCCTGCATTGACTGTGATTTATGATACATGAGGTCAGCATATGGTTGCTCATGTAAATTTTATGTTAAAATCTGCCTGCTTAGACAGTGAGTCATGGTACACGAGATCAGCATATGGCTGCTCATGTAAATTGTTTGTTAAAATCTGCCTGCATTGACTTGACCTAAAATACATGAGGTCAGCATATTGCAGCTCATGTAAATTGTATTTAGAAATGTGCCTGCATTGACTGTGATCTATAATACATGAGGTCAGCATATGGCTGTTCATGTAAACTGTATGTTAAAATCTGCCTGCATAGACACTGAGTTAAGCTACACAAGGTCAGCATATGGCTGCTCATGTAAAATGTTTGTTAAAATCTGCCTGCATTGACTTGAGTTAAGATACATGAGGTCAGCATATGGCTGCTCATGTAAATTGTATGTTAAAATCTGCCTGCATAGACAGTGAGTAAAGGTACTTGAGGTCAGCATATGGCTGCTCATATAATCTGTACTCTAGTCATGAGCTCAACATAAATTTGTTTATAAATAGTGTGCATGAGGTCAGAATATAACTGCTCATATAAACTGTATTTAGTCCATGCATGTTTATGTTTAGCCATTGAGGTATACATACATGTTTGGTTCAGGTTTATGCACCAATTTGTATACATTATATTAATAAAACATTGTTTTTATACACTCTGAAATTTTATACAGTTAATTGTAAAATTGATTATTTTGGTGTTACCATAGTCAATTAAATACTTTTCACAAAAACTCCTTTTTGGCAACTTTTAGTTCAATGTAATTCAAATGAAAATGCCTTTTCCTTGGGTGGCGCTGCATGCGTCATGCAAGCATTTAGCATGCTTTGTGGCCTCTTTTTGTACGCCACCTTCTTGTTGCACAAACTTTGTAATCAGTTTATATAACAATAGCTGGGATAAGCACTAAGTTGCAATGTAACATATCTAAATTGAAATTATTCATCATTTGACCTTATCCCAGCTTTTAATGTACATTATTGTAATTGTATATTATACATGCTTTTGTTTCACTTCTCGTCATTTATCTTGGCAATAAATGACATATTCACTCAGCTTAAGTTTTTCTGTTTTCCTTAAGTGGTTTAAGCAACAAGAACAAGCTTCAGAAAAGGCATTGAACTTTGCTAAAGTGTGTTATTTGTTTAATGAAAAAGTTGTGAATATAAATAAAATTTTATGTTTCATAAAATGTTTTATATGCAAGCTTTTTACATTGTTAATGTCAAGTCAATTAAATTTTGTAGTTATCATTAGTATGCTGTATTAAGGTCGGGTTCAATTTTAATCGGGATCGAGTTCCCAATATTTAAATCCGGTGGAAACATGAGGTTATGGTAATTTTAACCACCACCTCCCTTCCTCCTCCCATGTATAATTATGTTAGTGGGAAATGTTTGTAATTGAGAAACTTTTGTTTTAACTATCCTTACCATATAGGTTTAATGCACTTATTCTTCATGTAAACTGTGTTTTCTCTCTGGGATTTACAATATATTTGAACTTGTTTTTGAATTATTCCTGTTAGTAACATACAAGTGGCGCCTCTTTTTGTACGCCACCTTCTTGTTGCACAAACTTTGTAATCAGTTTATATAACAATAGCTGGGATAAGCACTAAGTTGCAATGTAACATATCTAAATTGAAATTATTCATCATTTGACCTTATCCCAGCTTTTAATGTACATTATTGTAATTGTATATTATACATGCTTTTGTTTCACTTCTCGTCATTTATCTTGGCAATAAATGACATATTCACTCAGCTTAAGTTTTTCTGTTTTCCTTAAGTGGTTTAAGCAACAAGAACAAGCTTCAGAAAAGGCATTGAACTTTGCTAAAGTGTGTTATTTGTTTAATGAAAAAGTTGTGAATATAAATAATATGTTGTACACAGTCAAAAGGTTTTGAGAAATCTATAAAAAGGCAATACATTCTACCCTTGCTTTTACAAATATATTTATATTTACTTGCTTTAAGAGCAAAGCAATTATCAATAGTAGAACTAGTCTGTCTAAAACCAATGTTGTTCAGACAACACTTCTCCATATTCTGCACAAAATGTCAATCTACTATTCAAAATTTTGGTAAAAATTTTGCTAATAACATTCAGTAAAGATATTCCTCTATAATGTTCTGTTATATTCCTATCTTTACTCATATACATAGGGCATATAATAACCTTACCCCATTCGCTTGGAAAAACACCTGTTTCTAAAATAATGTTAAATAATTTTACAAGGTATTGATTTAAAGAATTTTTATAAATTTCTATCACTAAACCATCAATTCCTGGAGCTTTATTATTCTTCATTTTACTAAGTGCATCATTTGCTTCCCACAGTTCAATAGGTTTATCCAATTTAATTACTTCAATTTTTACTTTACCCTCTTAAAGTTCTGTTAAAATACTGTTCGCCTCTGATTCAAAGACACTATCTATGTCAAACTTAGCAGAGTCTAATAGGCTTTTAAAATAATCTATCCATTTGAAATATTAGTTTCGAAGGTACCTCTAGTCAATTTCTTTATAGCTTGCCACATGTTTCCTGTATCATGTTCACTTAAACACCCTTCAATCTGTAACTGGTTAAACTGAGATTCTTTAAAATTATATAAATCTTTAAATCTTTGTCATTGTAATTTATAAATGTTCAGATCCTCTTCTGAATTTGTTTTCCTATATGTATTTAATGCACGACTCTTTTTTCTCTTAGCTTTTTCACAGTCTTTATCCCACCATTTAGGCTGCTCTAGTTGCATAGGTTTCTTTTCCCATTTCATTTCTAAAGCACAATATTGGAATATATCTGTCATTTACTGTACAGCATTGTTCACATTACTATTTCTTAA